TTTGTGATTAAGATACTTCACTCAGCATAATGTCCTCCAGGGTCACCCATTTTGAATAATATTGCATGAGTTCCTTGTTTTTCAATGCAGCGTCGTATGCCATTACAGCTTCTCTATCCATTCGTTTGTTGGTGGGCACTTGGGTTCTTTCCATCCTGGAGGCGATTTTTAAATTCAAGTGAGAAAGACCCAGAAGTTTTATTTTGGGTTTTGTAGATTAGGTTTACTTGTTTCTAGCTTAAATTTGAACTTACATGAGCAATTTATGGTCTCTTTGAAAGTGAGCACCTGGTCTGGTTTGCACTGTTGATAGTGACTTTCTCCAGTGAGTCTTTACACAGATAAGTCAATCTGATTCCTGTGCAGTCCGTCAGGTGAGGTTCATGTGTCAGCTTCCCTTTTGTGTTTTTGAAAAGGTATTTTCAGTGAATGAGTCATTGAATGTACAAAATTTCAGTCATTCTGTGTCAAACTTATTTCTGCCACCAAGACCATCCTTTTCTGCCATTCCTTCCTCATTGTTTCCAACTTTTGCATTCCATTTTTACTAATGCATCTTGATTTCATGTTTGGTCAATTTCAGACTGCCAAAGTTGGTAGAAATCTTCATTTCCTCTTTGGCTTTAGTCATTGGTGCATAGATTTGGATAATAGTCATATTAACAGGCCTTCTTGTATGTATATGGATAGTATCCTATAACAACACTGTACTTTAGGATAGATCTTGAAACTACCATTTTCACTATGAATACAACACCATCGTTCCTCAATTTCATTCCTGGCGTAATGGATCATATGATGGTTTAATTCAGAATGGCCCGTGTCATACTTTTGTGAGCGTGTCCAGGGCCGAATCAGTTAGGATCACATCATTTTTAGCTTGTGGTGGTGTTGATTGCCTTTATAGCAACCCTGTGAACAAAAGGCTTTATATAACTATTGATATTTATCAAGGTTCAGAGTTTCCAGAGGCATGTTGTTTAGGAAGTGGATGCCACTCCTGCTTAGGATTACGTTATTTGTAACACGCTCAGTGACCCACAACAGCCTTATTTTCAGCTAGAAATGAGATCATTCTCATTCTAGATAACTCTTGGGCAAATCTAGGCTGAGGTTTCCTGGTAGAGCTGTCACTATACCCGCTTTGAGCAGAATAGGGACAAGCCCCCTGGCCCTAAGGTGTATTCTTCAGCAAGAAAAGGAGACCTTCACTGTGTATGGCTCAGTATTGAGTCACCAGTAGGAGCCTGGTAAACTATTGTAAAATAGGCATTTAAAATAGCTGTGAGGTACTTTTTTGGGTAAGGTTTTCTTCTATGGAAAATACTGGAAAGGACTGATCTTTGGATAATTGTGACAATCACTTAAATAGTGCTTCTCAACTGGGACCATATTTCCCATCCAGAGGACATCTGGTGGTTGTCACAGCTGGGGGGAGGTGATGTTACTGGCACTTGGCGATTGAATGTTTTGATTCTGCTAAACTCCTACAATAGACAGGGCAGCCTCTCATAGAATGATCTGGCCTCAACTACCAGTCGTGTCAACTTTCAACCTCCTCCTCTGACTGCATAATTTGTGAAACCTTGTTGTGCACATGAAGGCACTCTATGAGAGGGCTTACCCGGGTTTGCATTCACTGATTAATCTATACTCTCTCACTTCTCACTTCCTCATCCCCTTCTGCTGCCAGAAGAGCATGTGCTTACTGGAAATAAGCAGCATAATTCCAAAGTAAAATGGTTTTGCTCAGTCAGTGCCTTAGAATTTACACTTCAAACTGGGGACATTTTACTTTGTTACTTTTCCTGATCCTCAGGGATACGTGCCCATGAGTTGTAGACTCACAAGATGCATTTAGGTGGATCAGGTAGGGACCTGTGAAATGTCTGAATGTGGACTTAATTTGGGATAAATGATCAAAACATCTTTAAATGTTAAAATTTTAATAGCAAAGTACAAGTAGATATTTAGAAGAAATCTAGAATTAACTCAGTATCCACTGCAGCAGCAGGATAGGCAAAAGCCAATAAATAGGCCTTATTGTAATCTCTGTCATGATTACATGGCATGTCTGCCTGGTCTGCATGGCACCAGATTTGCGAGTTAAGGCATTAGAAGGAATAGTGTGGCACCAAGAATGGGGACACACAGAAAGTTAATGTTCAAATGCCAGAATTTAGAGAAGAGTTAACCAGAGACTTCTTTGAAATTCAAGTGAGATCATTTTCATTGAAAAGGGAGAAAAGTCTAAATTAAGATTACCATGAAAAGTTTTTTTTAATGTAGTGATTTTTTTTTTGTTATTGTAGATTTTCTCTAAACAGGGTTCTCAAACTCTCTATCACCATATTTTTCAATTTTAAAATGGGCATTTTTTTCCTTGATGTTCCTAAAGGACTCTTTCTTAAAAATAAATTGAATATCATTTTTTTATTTGTGGGGTCAGATAGTGCTAGAGAAAATAATTAAATCTACATGCTCCTTAACATACAGCTAACAAAAGAGTATTCTTTCTTACAACCTTTTCTCTGCTTTTTTACAGTTTTACATGCATTGGAGACCAGATCAGAAGTACTTCTGAATTAAGGTAATTTTACTGTACTTGAGCCCCATAGTTTTAAAGTACAATATTTACATTCCTTTGGGTGTTTCACTACAGTAACCTGGCTTTTGCTGTAGTTTTGTTCCTTTTAAGTTCCTTTTTGTTCCCTTCCTTTTAAGCTTAGAGTTTGTCTTCAGACCACATTTATCCTCCGAAAGAGGTTTTCTTAAAAAGCTTCCATTAAGTATTCATCTGAAAGTTTTAAAGTCTTAAGAGGGACTACAGTATTTTTTACTTTTTATTTACTATAAACAAGAGAGCCCATTTGTTCCAATTAAAATCTTAGTAGTTCTTGCATACTGGCAAGTTGGAGCCGACCCACAGCTGACCCTGTACTAAAGGAGAGTGCCCATCCTTCTCCCGTGAAGCACCTGGTGGCCTTGAACCACATATCTTTGGGATTGTAGGGCAGCTTCTTGCCACTACCACCAGAGCTTTCAAATCTTAGAAGTAATATAAATAAATTAAAGAGCACATGATTAAGAACCACCCCCTCAGATCTGTTTGTATGAAATGTTCGCATAAGGAATATCAGTGTTAACAGTGAATGAATCTGGGTGAGGGTGCACTCTTCTTTGTAGTAGTCAGGCAACTCTTGGTACATTCAAAATAATTTTAAAGTAAAAAGCAAAATAAAACTGAGTAAATAGTTAGGTACTGGAACAGTTGGATATCCATATGCAAGAGATGAACTTCATATTAACTCAAAATGAATCATAAACCTAAATATGAAACCTACAACTAGGACCCTTCTAAAAGAAAAAAATAGAAATTTGTTTCAACTTTGTGATAGGTGAAGATTTCTTGGATGTGACATGAAAGATAATTTTTTAAAATCTTTACAAATTTAATTTTATAAATATTTTTGTTGTTTGAAAGATACTAAAAGATTGAAAAGATAAGCCACAGGCTGGAAAGATTAGAAAATCATGTATCTTTAAGATGACTTTCATCAAGATATATAAAGAATGCTTAGAGCTCAAAAAGAACACAAAACAACCCAATGAGGAAGGTAAGTGATTTGCACAGATTTGCGTCATCAGAAAATAATAGAGATAGCAAATAAGCACTTGAAAAGATTCACTAGTGTGGAAAGTGAAAATGGAGCCAGCTATATGCAGAACCTTAAAATGTTAAACATATGTTAAGCATATACTTTATGATCTAGCCATTCCACTCCTAGGTATTTATATACCCAAGGGAAAGCAAAGCATATGTCCATATGAAGACTTGTAGGACACATACCAACGTGGATAAATCTCTGCATAATTAAGCGGAGCAGACTGTATGATTACATGCATATAAAATTCTGATGAATGTGAACTAATGTATAATGACAGAAAGCAGATTAATGGTTGTCTCGGAGATGAGAAAGACAGGGCTTTAGAAAGAGATTAAAATACATCAGATTGTACAACTCAAATACATGCCATTGTATATCATTTGTACCACAGTAAAAATTAAATGCACATATTTCAGTGGGCAAATCAACTGCAAAAGACTTCTTTAAAATGCTTTGCAAGCAAAGATGTCACTGAGGATTAACGTGCGCTTGACCCAAGCCACGCTATTTTCAGTTGCCTTGTACGTGTGCATGCAAGTTAGGTAATGAGTAAGGAGAAAAGAAAAAGAATTGATGCCTTTGAATGGTGGTATTGATGGAGGATGCACACTGTGTCACGGACTGCCAAAAGAACAAACCAAGCCTTGATGAAGTACATGCGGGATGTTCCTGTAGAAGGGAGGATAGGGAGACTTTGCCGTAGATATTTTGGGCATGTTGTCAGGAAGGGGCCAGTCCATGAAGAATGACATCATGCTGATAAAGTGTAGGCTCAACAACAACAACAAAAAGATAACAGCTCTCATGAGATGGATTAACACAGTGGGGTTAATTAAACACAGCAGAGCTGAACTGGATGGTATTTGTTGTACATAGGGATGTTATGACTCAGACTAGATTTGTTGGCACCTAAATAACAATAACAAAATGCACAATTAAAAAACAATATAGTAAACCAGTAGAAATAAAAATTTTATGTAATTTTTTTTTTTGTAGCTACCCATTTATTATAAAAACAGCCACGGAAAACACTATGAAGCACAACAGTTCTACTTTGACATACTTGGAGTTACCCTGATTTAAAAACCAGTTTAATAACTGACATATTTAATATCTCATTTCTATCTAATGTTCAAGTATCTCCTGTATAGTTAATCTCCTCTTGATTGGTATACTTAAGATCTCATTAGCATTTAATGTTCAGGTGTTTCTTGTCGTTCCTCTAGAATGTTATATGTCTCCTGGCCTTTTACCCCTATTAACATAATTTTCTCACCACTTACCTATACCTAAACACATCTTCTGAACTTCATCTACCACATTTGCCTTTGCTTATAGTGAAATATCCTGAACTAGTACAAGTAGTATTTTCATCCGTTTCTAGAATTATCAGATTTCTTTTAAAATCCTAAGTCAAGTGAGGGAGCTCTGGTGGCCTAGTGGCAAAAAAGGGCGCTGCAAATCCCAAGGCACGGGGATCAAGACCACCACCTGCTCCGCAGGAAGGGTGTGCAGTCTCCTCCCATACCAATACTGCCTTTGAAAACCCTCTGGAGGGACACAAGCCATGCAAGGAATGGGAGTTCTCATTGTAGTGTAAAAACATCCTCAACACAAGCAAAAACAATTTACATTTCCAATTTGTTTGGCCTTCCATCATAAAATTAGGATTTCCATAAAAACCTGTCTGTCCCAGAAAGTATATGGAAAATTGAGCAAAGCATACATGTTAGCTGACTCTAATTGTGGACTCACAATGAAGCGTACTTCAAACATTACGTGTAATCCTTTGGATGACCTTTAAAATGGTCAAAAATGAAAAGGGACATTACAATTCCCCTTAAGTGTGAAGAACATATCTTACCAAAGCTATCTCTTCACATCATGTAAATGTCATTCTTCTCTTGTAGAGAACTTGGATTTGAACCATCCACCTTCAGAGTGGTAGCTTAAGTCCTTATTAAGGCAGAAACCTTCTTATGCCAATGTGCAGCCGCTTTCAATGCTCTCAAACCATGGGTAATGGGGCTAGGCAATGGTCCGTGGCTGACAGTTTACTCTGGCATGGGTACGCTATGAGAGACCCACTAAAGGGCCTTAAATTTCTTAAAAAAGCTATATAAACAGTTTTCATGTCATTCTTAGACTAGTTGCTACTATTACCCATATTTTTTATTTCTGCAGGAAGCCTGCTATAATGATTCTAGGTAGGAAATGGGGCAGGTGGACTTGGCTTTTCTCATAGCTGTTAATTAGTTTTGTTTCAGATTAAAAATTCTGTCATTTTTTATACAGAATCCTGCTTAGTAACATTCAGAATGTGCCAGTCAAGGCTTCAGGTACTTTTGTCCTTTGTTGCATCCTCACAGCACATAAGGCAGGTTCAGAAAAGAATGGAGGCAGAGAGAGGCCAGGAAAACCTTTCAAGAAGACAAAAAATTCTGACCACCAGACCAGTGAGCAACATCGTGTTGATGTTGTTGTTATGTGCTGTTGAGTCGCTTGCAACTCATAGTGACCCTGTGTGCAACAGCCCTAAACTCTGCCCTGTCCTGTGCCAATCGCACTGTCTCCAATACACGCATCTCGATTACTCCAGTCACTGAATCAGTCCACCTCATAGAGGGCCTTTCCCTCCTGCGCTGTCCCTCCACCCTCCCAAGCATGATGTCCCTCTCCAAGGAGCCTAACATCATCTAACATCACGATAGATGGAGAAAAGATTGAAATTGTCAGCTATTTTCTCTTACTTGGATCCACAATCAGTACTTTTGGTATCAGCAGTCAGGAGACATACTGCACTGAACTAGTCTACTGTCAGAGACCTCTCCAAAATGCTGAGGAGCAATGATTCTAGAAGACTAAGGTGCGCCTGATTCAGGCTATGGTCTTTTCAATCACTTGCTATGCCTCTAAGAGCTGGATGGTAAACTAGGATAACAGAAGAATTTATGTCTTTGAGTTGTGATGTTGGAGAAGAGTACTGAACATCTCACAGACTGACAAAAGAACAAACAGATAAGTCTTGGAAAGAGTACAACCAGAGTGCTTCTTTGAAACAAAGATAACAAAGCTTCATCTCACATACTTTGGGCATATTACTGTTAGAGGCTATTCCTTGAAAATGGACAGCATGCTTAGAAAGGTAGAGAATCAGCAAAAGGGGAAGATCCTCCACAAAGTGAATTGACACAGTGACAGCAGCAATGGACTCAGTGTGTCACAGACGATGAAGTTGGCACAAGATAGGACAGTTGTTCATAGGGTTGCTACGAGTCATACCCTCCTTGATGGCACCTGACAACACCATTACAGCTGTCATTGTCTGCAGAGTTAGTTGGTAGCCCACCCACACCTCTCCTTTCCTTCCTCTTTTCCCTCCTAAACACCATGCAGAGGTAGGGACTAAGCTGTTTGCTCAGTTTCTCTAAATGTGAAGTGTATAGGTTTCCATCACCCGGCTAGGAGTGTTTGGATTAGTTATTGTTAAGTGCCCTCAAGTCTGACTCGTAGCTCACCCTCCAGAGGGTTTACAGAGGCTATAAATTACACAGGAGGAAATTGCCCATCTTTATCCCACAGAGCAGCTGATGGATTCAAACCACATGCCTTTGGATTATTAGCTTCTTACCAGAAGGCCACTAGAACTCTGTTTGGATTAGAATACAGGATAATTGAGGAGCTTTCTTGGCTAGAATGAGGAATTGGACTAATTTTTAGATTCTTTCTAGTTCAAGAATTTTTCTAACTTTAAAATAATATTTGGGCTTATTTTCTTTAAATTATATAAATATTTAAAAATATTTAGAATAGCATGAATTTTCAAAATTTTTAAAGTTTTAGTGCATACTATATATATGCTTGTAATATGTCATTTTCATAAATTCTGAAATACGAGACTTTTAAAGATACGTTTTAAAAA